TTTATTCAAATATCCGACACGCTTCACGTCGACATCGATGTCGAATGTCCGTGTTACCATTTCAACCGTGCCGACGGATTTTTTAGTATTTTTCCCCGAAATTTTCGCCTATAGACTCGTCACCGTTTTTTCGTTGGTCAACGATTGACTCGTCGAAGCGGATGAATAAATTTACATTAATCTACATTAATGCAATACACTCGAGTTCGAGACAGCTCAGTGGATGTGATGTGACGACATATTGCTTGATTGCTTGCAGAACTAAAATGCATGTTCGCGCACCCTGTCTTTTAAGAACATTTTATTTATCGATCGAAGAACTCTATTTACGTATTGAAATAGTACTGTAGGAAAAAAGAAATCAAATTCCTACAATTCTTTCGTGTCCACGTATTCTTATAACATGCATAGTCTAAAATTATCCTAACTATTACTTGAAGTTGAACATTCTTTCAAAATTTTGCATAAGTGATTTTAACCATAAAGAAAATATACCTCCGGCAAATAACATGACTTAAGGGCAAAGATAACATTTTGAGGATGTAGAAATATTCGGGTAACTCTCCTACGTTTATGTGATGCAAAAAAATGTATTTCTTACTGCGAATATACAGAACAAAATGATTCTTACCGCTTTCCCTCAATGATAATTCTAGCAAAGATCATCTGCTCCTGAAAATATAAAAATTAAACCTAGTGGCAAAATGCTCAAACCGATAAACAAATTACCAACAGCTGATACTTGTTAGAACCACCAGATGGCACTACATGCCATGCTTTTTTTGTCTCAGAGTCTGCATTGCCGACTCTGTAAAAAATACTGTGGTGCAATAGAATTGTAAACGAAATTATAGATTGAGAAGATAACAGTGTAAAAAGAGCAGAAAAAGCTCTTGGCATTTTAAATGAAGCAATCCTGAAATCTGAACCTGATACAATAGGAGACTCTACCTCCATGGAACGGTCAACTAGTGAACTACTCTAACTGCAGCAGAGAAAAATGTGTATCTGAGGTGACTAAATTTATAGCGTTGTCAGCTTTTAACAGTACATTGTTGCCGCGTTATATATTTTTCGGTAGTTATTCTACTACCTTTAACAGATCGTCGGGCGAACGCCGATTATAGTCAGCACCCGTACACACAGGCCGTTTCGCGGCCGCCGACTATAGTCGGTACCCGTAACGAAAGGGTTAAAGGAACCGAGTGCTGCGGATACCTGTATGAAGTCACCGCATTGGCGTTATACCGGTATAATATCGATATATTAAAGTGGAAAAAAGAATCACAAATTAAAAGGTACGGAAAACATGGTTCTAGAAATATACATAGACGAATCCAATTACGTTTCAATTTTAATACTGATTCTGATTCAATCTCTGGAGTTTATATTCTTCTCAGCAACACTGGTATTATACCAGTAAAATATATATGAAAATACCGCTGTATTATATATATATATTATATATATTTTATATTATATATATTATTATATAATATAAAAATAATATTATAATATTATGTATATTATATAATATATATAACATACAACAATACATATTCTCGTTTTTTGTAGCCGTGCTACAATAATAATAATCAATAATATCAATCAATAGTAATCATAGTCGTAATTGTAGGCGTAAACATAATCGTATGAATGTTCGTCGCGATCAGCTTCGCGCCCTGCGCCATGGAATCGTATCGATGCGCTAGCCGAACGTTACGAGTCTCCTTTCGAATTTGGCCACTTCGCTCGACCAGCATCAAAACACGCGCCGATCGCCCTAGCAACGTCACGATGTTTACATCGCGGCGCTCACGTACGCGCGCACACGTACGTCACAGTCCGCAGGCATCGATGTTCTGCTAGCCGCGGAGCACGTGTAAAATTCTAGGTTCAGCAGATGAATCACCGAAGAAAAGAAGAGAGGTTATGCATGCCGATGAGATCAACCTGTTGTCGTTACCACTTTGTCACTGTACTCGTTTGTAGAGAAATATTAGTTACAGCAATAATGGAAGGATACACCCACTTGGCTAAAAATATGGTTTTGACATGTCATAAATCTCATTTATAATTCATTTATGTTATCGTGTTGCTGCAATTGAGATGCGGTGTACATTGCACGACGGTACGGCCTTAGCTTTTGTATCGAGCATGTTAGAAAGATACAGCATTCATTATCCGTATTCGTGATGAGCAGTGGTATACCGCAGGAGAATCATAATCGCTGGGGGTTTGGAAGGTTTTTAGATTTTCATCGGGGGGGGGGGGGGGCACC